TACAATAATAGTACTGCTACCACATAATTTCATCATATTTGTTCACCACAGACTGCAAAATCACAGCTCTTATAAGAATAAACCCAGGGGAGGATCCAAGAATTTGTACAAAATCACACAAAGCATTCAAAACTAATATTCTAGTCTTTTTTTCTGATTTCTCTCGGCGTAACTCGCATATCAACACTGATTCTTTAATTCGTACCTTTATGCAGAAATTTAATATTTCGACAGTGTAGCCACAAACTTTTTCGTTATCTCAGTGCAGAATTTTAGGAAGCCCATGCATGCAAAAGACATAAGCCATTTTATTTTTGATATTGAGATAATCAAATGTTGCATATATTAAGCTCCAAACACGTCATAGAGGCTCCCTCAAGTCTACCGATTCCGATTCTGACCATGAATTCAATTCTAATATTCTCGTCCATTTTCTGATATTTTTCGCCATAACCAATTGAAATCGCACCTCGCCAGTTTTCCCTCTCATATCTGAATGCTGAAAATTAATATTTCTACAGCGTGTAGCCACAAATTTTTCTGTCGTAAACTCAGTGCAGAATGTTACTATGCCCATGCAAAAGAAAAAAAGCCCATAAAAGCCATTTTATGATGAAATTAGCATATGTTGCATAAACTCCAACGACGTTAGAGGCTCCGTCAAGTCTACCGTTGTCATAAATTCAGTGCAGAATTTTATTATACCCATGCAAAAGACCAACAAAAAAACAAACAAAATAAACGCCATTTTATCTTAATGTCATAACCTTAGTGCAGAATTTTATTATACTCATGCAAAAGACCACCAACCCCCCCCATAAAGGCCATTTTATCTTAAAATTAGCATAATTATGTTTCATAAACTTTAACGACGTGAGACGCTCTGTCTATTCTACCAATGTCGTAACCTTAGTGCAGAATTGTATTATGCCCATGCAAAAGACAAAAAACAAAAAAAACAAAACAGCCATTTTATTTTAAGATTAGCATAATTCTGTTGCATAAACTCCAACGACGTTAGAGGCTTCGTTAACTCTACCAATAGTCCCAACTGGTTGTATGCTTGAGTAGCCATCCATGCAGCACCAGATGTGCGCTTCCTGATAGGCCTACAACCTATAGGCCTAGGTAGCAACAAGTTCAACTGCAGGTTGTGTGATTTTCTTTGTGAAAAACACAGGGTAATGGATGCAGGGTAATGGGAGTGGTAATGTGCAGTTCAATTATGATTAAGTCATTGTAAACACAAGAAAATATGCCAGCCCGACCACTCTGCGTTTGTAACTCAACAAACGCGAACCTCTAGTTTATATTATTTTTGAAAAAGGAAAAGGTTTAATCGTGCGCTATATTCCACATTGTGTAACTGATGGCTTGCGAGGGAGATAGTAATTTATTTCCTGAACATTTAAGACAAAAAGGTGCCTGCACCCCTCATTAGATTAAAACAAGAATCGTTTAAGGGAGGGGGTAGGGGTCTCCCCCCCCCCCGATTCGCCAATGCCAGAGTTCAGAGAGTTGACGACGCCCAAAATCTGAATACATTTTAAAACAAAACATACGCCTACAAATTGAAAATGCGTAAGAATTTTTGTTTGAAGAGCATGGGGTATCTATAACTCATTGGTGCAAGTTTGGCAACGTGACAATCGGTCAATCCCAAGTCAAACTTGGCTCTAAACGAAGCATTTATACCTTAGAGTCGTTTATACCTTAGAATAGTTACTTCAAATTTAACAAACCTACCCCTGGAGTCTGGCGACTCATATCGAAGACCAGGGTTCAACCCCCCCCCCCCATTTCATTGTATTTGATAAGTTTCATTATTTTACCTTTTCTGGCCCGTAGTAATATGCCCCGGGGCTGTGAGCCGTAAGCGCCGGCGGGAAACGCCTGGCCGAGGCCCCGTTCAGCTCACACCGGCTCGCCCCGTCCCAGTACCGGTAGTTGATGGAGATGCAGCGATCGTCGGACAGGCACTCGTTAGCGCACCGCAGTCTCGAAGTCCCCGTTAGGTTGCGGTAGACGTGGCCCAGAACGATCCGGTCGATCGCGCCGTATAAATACCGCTGACCGTACCGGGGAGAAGCCGATGTAATGCCGCGGCATCCTCCATGCTGCCACGCGGTGACACCGATCGGCGTGCAGACGGTAAATCCCAACACCATAAGAAGAGACACGGACATCGTCATTTATATCCAACTGAATCCTTTTTGAGGTGCATGTATACACTAAGAGCTGTGTTGTGTGTATCTGTTGGTAAACTGAGTTTAATTTTTGTCAATTTTCGGTTTCATAGCAGATGAAAATCAGCCTAGACAAGTCACTGCAGGTATGGGATGATGGAACAGCGAAGGAGGGAGAGCTAAAAACTGAGATGGGGAGGAGTGAGGGAGATTGGGGAGAGTTCGGTTCATCAAAATACTCACGCGTAATTAATAGTCTGGTTCCCAGACCAAAAGATTCTTAATATATGAATCTTAGGTCAGGTAGCCGTCAGTGTCACGTAACCAAAACGGAAGGAATGCCTCCCGTTTCCGAAAATGTCCGAAGTTTGCCGAATGCATTTCGTCGACACTATCGGATTGCGCCTGGTTATTTCCGGTTATAAAAAAAGGTTGTATTTTGATTATTAAATTTTTTTAAATGAGTTCATAATAAATATTCATAGGTTGCATTTAAATCACTTGAAATTCAATGACGACTTTGTGCATCAATTATGCACTCGGATCGCACAACAGGCAACCTTTGCTGCGTCATACTACATGAATTGAAACTGACGACGGTTGCGTATAGGGGTTCATGAATTCCAAAACTCGGTCTCATCTCCATTTCGGCATCGCCTGCTATTTGGGTCCCCAACTTTGAAGATTCCATTCCAACTCAACATTAGTCAATTTTTCTTAAAGAAATATCAAACTGTATGATCTATGAAGTAGGTGTTTTTTTTTCTGAATTTGATCGGAATATTTAAAGCTTTTAATAATTAAGCCTAACCAGAAACCTAAACCAGAAAGTCGAGCTTTGAAAAAAGGGCAACATGTCTTTTTTTAGCCCGTGGCAGCTACTTGCTCTACAATATATAGCTTGCTCTACAATATAGAGGTGCACACCGGTTAATATGCCAGTGGCGGTTCTACGGGGGGGGGGGGGAAGTTTTTTGGGGGGCTAGACAAAAAAAAATGGGGGGGGGGGGGCTGGCACCTAGCCCCCCCCCCCCATTTTTTTTGTCTAGCCCCCCCCCAAAAAAATTCAATAAAAAATTATATTAGTGAAAAAGAAGAAATGCGACGTACATGCGAACGGTCTCCCCCTAAAGAAATAGTCGTGACAAGGGTGCATTTATAGTGTGCCTGATTGTAGATTTTATTGGCGCTCCCCATTGAAAATATGACACGAGCCCCTCTCCCCCCCCCCCCCCCACCCTATCGATTTTCGGAGGCCTAAGTGTCTGGAGAAGATAACCGGTCTACATTCCTCCCTGAAAAACATTCTGGATCCGCCCTGCTAGCCCCCCAAAATATTGGCTCTACAGCCGGAAAACCGCGCCTGTAATATGCCTAAACCCATCCACCGAGCTAATGAATAAAGTTATACCCTCAAAATATTCCATATTAGAGAGTCCTGATAGCCATAAAATGGGGGAATTAAAGAGATATGGCAGTGAACCTCTGTCCCGGACTTAGGGCTTGCAATTCTGAGCATTTGGACGCGATTGGGCTCCAAAGTGGCGCTATTTTGCCACGTTGTGGAGTGATCGTTTTTCAAGATGGCTACCTTTCCAACCTCGTCCCCAGTGCTTACTTTATTTCCAAGCGCGTTTCCAATAGAGCAGGTAGTGGTGGGCGCGTACTGCTCGACACCCTGGGGACGAGGTTGCTACCTTTCCGCTTTTGGAAAAACAGGGGTCGCCTGCTTTGGGTGAGAATTTCTCGAAAAGTAATGGTCAACCCACCGACAAATGAAAATAAAATAAAAGATGACATGTTGATTATCATTTTTCGGTGCAGCTTAAAACATGTGAGAGTCCTGAGTATTTTTTAAGGAATTTTGAAGTATGGGCATTTAACACTGGTGTCTATGGGAATTTTAATACAGAGTTGCATAGGACGTCGGGAATTGTCGCGTCAGGGAGCCAGACTAGCTTAATTAACAAACGCCCTGTGCAAACTTAAGAGGGCGCTCTATGCCTAAGTGTGTAGCGTAATGGTACTGCATGCGAGTCAACACGTCCCGAGGCGTCATGCCGACAGACAAAGCAAACACGTAAGTGTATGTTGTTTTGTCCATATTTGTAAAATATAATGTAAAATATCAGCCCTTTGAATTAAGCCTCTCATATTTCAGGAGACACGCAGTTTTGTAAACTTCTTTTATTGTAAGGTGAGGGCGGCCGACTGTAAATGAAGACTTAATTTCTGAAACGCGATATACGCCATTTTGTTCCCTTAAGTTTTAGAATCCTGCTCTCTCCTGGCTGCCCAAATGCAAGTTTGACGGCTGTTCTATGCTTAAACACGACTTAAGAATCCAAATACATGTAAGCAAAAAATGAAGTTTAGAAACAGCTGTTACACTGTTTTAATTCTTTAAAGTTTTATACATTTTCAGCTTTTTCAAGTGGATAGGCCTATGTCGCGTTCGTTTGAAATAAATGTAAACTCTTCAAATGCAGGCTTCAGTATGCACCCGAATCGGTTGTTTTACGGCTACAGATTTGGCTTTTATTGAAATATATATTTGATTGATATACTTAGTCATAGTCACAGACAAAAACCCGTTTCGAAAAAAACAGATGGAGTGGAACAAGATATCGCCTTTGATGAAAACATTTGCTTGGTGTTGGGATAATTTGCGTTGTCGGATTATACCTCATCCCGCCCCAGCCACTGTAATCTTACTACATTGTGCATGTCGAAGTAATAACTGGATAATTTGATTTTAAAATTCAACATGGTCAAGGTAATAAACACAAGAAAAAATATTTACAAAGCAATGTCTTAAGTTTTGATTCATTTACTATAGAATACACAAACACCATGCAAATCGTCACATTAACATAATCGTAACATAACATAACACAATCGTAACATAACATAAATTGTACACACGCGAAAAGAATAGCAAAATTCAGGGATTCAAATTTATTTGAAGTATGACGACCGTAAAGTTAACATGGTTTTCCAAATCACTGAGAAGTGCCTAAATATGACTTATTGCTGTTCAGGCTGAAACAAATAATAAAAACGTAAACGTAGGAATAAAGAACAATAAATTAAGTAACACCGTACTTTTGTATAACACTTTTTTTTCTCAGCTAAAAAAAAAACCACTTTCAAGAAAATTAGTTACAATGAGAAACAACATAGCTGTGGTATGGGAGAGTATCAATTTTTCCGAAAATGACAACCAATAAAGTTGAACCCGTGTGGTATGAGAACATAATCTAACAAACAGGATTAATATCATGTCCAACCATAGAAAATCGCTCTACCATAGTTTAGAAATTCATAATTTTCAGTTGATTAATGCCACTAAACTGTTCCTGTGAGGTTTGGCCCACTAAGACTATACATTTTTAGAAAAACAGTCTCTTCGAGTTTCTCTGATGTTTGCGAACTGGAAGTGAGAGGCAACCTAAGCACTCATGAGGTCACATGGTCGGGTCACGTCCAGGACTCGGACCGAATGTTCGATCGCATACAGTGCCATCTCGTCCAAGTCTAAACCCAAGCTGCTCCGAATGGCCGACACAACCACGGAGTCGCCCTGGGAGGAGTTCGGCACCGTTCGGGAGTCATCGGCCCATCTCGGCCCGTAGTGGTGGCCGGGTTCGCTTCTGGACACCGAGTAGCACGAGTAGTCCACGCGGCGATCACGGAAACTGCCGAACGTCTGGGCGGCATGGTAGGGATGATACCGGTGACTAGAGGCTGCAACGTACTCCGACTTGATCCTGATCTTGGCTGGCTGCGGGTAAGGAGCGGTACGGGGAAGAGCGCCCTCCGTCGACAAGGAGTGATACGGTGGATAGATGCCACTCCCCATCCAAGTAGACAGAGCCTTGGGCTTGATGTCTCGCTGATGTTCCTGATGGAAATGTCCTGTTGATGTATGAAAACTCTGTCGGCTTTCCGAGCTTGGCCAAGCGTCATCGCCGTACAAAGACAGGTCAATTTCCCCGTCTGGGTTGTACAGGCCACTCATGGGGAGATTCCACTCGTTAGTCGGAAGACTAGCGGTGGAGACGGTTGGCTGGGGCTTGGACGATAGCTGATGACCTTGCGAGCTCTCAGGCTGGTTGACGGGGACTCCGGCGCGACCTACAAGAAAATCTCGATTGATGCTGTGTAGAGGGGTGGGCTGGGCTGTCAAAGGAGTGGTTGGGTTGCTGCTGGTGTGTGCTGCTGTGGTGGCCACGTTTTGGGTAGTAGGCGGCGAAGATGACTTGTGGAGGTTCCGTGTTGCTGTCTTAGTGTCCGGCGGATTTGACGCGCTGACTTCGGAGGAAGAACGCCCGGTGCCGGTGCTTGCACCCGCGGACTGATGAAAGGAGTGGCGTGACTTGAGCATCACGCAGTGGGGACAGTCAGGGTTCAGAGCCCAGTAGTTGTCCTTGCCGTTGGGTTGGGCCTTGTTCTTGAGCACCTTGACGAAGCAGGAACAAGTGGATAAGTTGTGGCGGACGCTGTTCTTCCAGCCGGAGTAGGCGCCCCGGAAACAGTCGTGGGACGCCGACATGTGGCTCTGGATCTCTTTCAGGGTCAGCTTACCAGTTTCTGATTCCTGAAATGAGAAGGGGAAAAATGGAAATTATAAGGTTTAACGTTTAGATCATGGAGAGGATACACAGATGATTATGTTGACTTCTTTCTCCTTTCCTTTAAATTCAAACATCTTTATTAATGAGTGCCAGTCATGGAAATGTCTACTTCCTAAAGAGTGGCCATCGATCAGTTTGGAGTGAAATTTGATGCTTGTCATTTTTTTTTCTAGATTATGACAACCAATTAATTGTGCAGGCCGGTTGAGCTGCTCTTGAATTAGATTTTCTGCAGTCGGGGTGGGGAAAGAGGCGTCGGAACCAGGGGTAGTGCCTTCCTTTGTGAAGCAAAGGTAATATGTTTTTTAGTGTAGGCCTATACCGTACCGGACGAACAATTATTTTCGTCATTATTTTGGTTGCAATGATAATAGAGGGCGCTCTCTCCAGGTTACCAGTCTGTAGCATATGTAGCATTGCTACAGGATTTGTGGTGGGAGTCCCCATGTCTCAAAAGCTGCTCCATGTGTATCTATGGGAGCATGGTGGGGCCCAACGGGTTGTAGCTCCATAGAAAAGCGCATACATTTGTATATGTAAACAAAGTGTGAAGTCATCAGTACCGACTGAGGCTTATTATAAGTATCAAGACAACTCGGCCGTTTCCCTGGCATCCATTCGAGCGGGGGTGGGGGGGGGGGGGGGGGGGGGGGGGTGGGGGGGGGTGGTTGTGACATTTGTATCTCCGGGCTTTAGAGATCGCGATTTTGAAGACTCCCCCCCCCCCTTAAAAAAATGTCCTACTTTTAAAGTCCGTTATAGAACGTCTTATTGCGTCAAATTCATTTCAAATTGACATTTCTCTTGATTCTTCAAGTCCCAGAACGCCGTGCCTTAAAAATCAAAATAACGATATAACAAACTTACCTTGATTGCCATTGTGATGAGTTCAGCGAAGGTGTGTGGGAGTTTGACTCTCCGGCGGTAGTTGGGCCGGCGAGACTTGGTCTTGACCGGTGCGGTGGACCGCAGGGTGTCGCAGTCATTAGGCGGTGAAGACCGTGCCATCTCCCCGTCAGGATTCCACTGAGATCCCGCTGGTAATTCTTGTTGCTCGTGGGACAGGTAAAACGCAAAGAACCCAGGAAACTCAGAGATATGACCACAGGGAGAACTATTCAAGAACTTTGTCAAAACTACGGTGAGGAAAAAATACTGTCACGTCATTCATCAAGGGAGTGCAGCCAAGGAATGACAGATTGTGGCGAGACGCGCAGCAAGATTAGCCTCATCAACCACTTCAGTGGACAGGAACAAAAATACGGCGAACTTCACAGCGGTAGCCAGACAATGGCGGGACGGCCGATCACAGGGCGCCGCGTCCACTGAAGTCATTCATACCGTCCGCTGCCTGTTGTCATCCCGCGGCGAGTTCTAAGAAAGCCTGGTGCGCCACATTTGATCTTCGGAATCGGGCCGTCTTTTATGGGCCCGGCGGTGGTGTGTGAAGTACAGGAAGTTTGTCAACGGTGGGTTTTAAGATCTTGGAAATTCGAGAGTTTAATTAGGCATTTAGGGAGCCGCTGATGAGCAATAAACGGATGACGACATGGCCAGGACTGTTTTTATTTTTTAAATGTTCCATGTTCCAAAACGTCTACTGTATTACCCAAGCCAGCAAGTAAGTCAATAGCCAGACCATCAAACTAACCAACAAACCACCAAAAGAGCAATTACTAAGAAGACACGAATGATCAAGCACCAAAATGTGAATAAATCGGCACATTTTTCAAAATCTGTCAGTGCTTCAAAACCTCTGTAATTGACAAAATATCTGTTCTTATTGCACTTATTTGTGATTAACAAATAAAACAGGAATACATCTTCGGTTCTTACGATGTGGAAACTACTTTCGAGTTGCCACCAATTGATCTTAACCCTAAACGGTGCAGGTACCTCAGAGGTTTTTAAAAATGTTTAATTAAGAATCAATGAATTCTCAAAAGATTTATTCTTGCCAATCCAAGCCATATGAGGAATACCGCCCTCTAGCTTCGCCTTATAATCTCTACAAATTGCCATCTCCTGCTTGCAGCAATGCAGACTTTTCAACAAACCATGACAAATATGAATGTTTAACGAACAATTACAAATTGAATGCATGCAGGCCTAACAGATATCCAGATTATAACCGAGGCATGCTATGATTGGTTTGTGACAAGTTTGCATATGCAGATAAAAAGTGACATCAAAATAATCTACGCTACTAGAAATGGTTTAAATAACTATCAAAACTCATCATGGAGACTAGGGGTTTGCCCCAGAATATCTTGCCAGCCGTATTTATTATTTTTTTCTTATCTTATATTAATTTTTTTATTCAGATGAAATCAATGACAGAAACTGACACGACTACATGAGGCTTTAAAAAAAAGCTTTGAGTTTGTCTGGGATACCACAAAAACCTAAATACATAGGCATATTTCAATTTGGTTCCCATAATGTGAGCACCGTCCATATCAGAATTTTAAATTGTATCAATTGAAATTAAAACATAATAATAATAATAATAATAATAATTTGGGAGGCTAATCATCCTTACTCGCAGCTGGTATGCTGGATTGCGAAGTGGCTACAACGTGGTCGGGCCGCTGGCACGTAAAGGCGCCTATGGCTGCCGGCCACATCGACCCATATATGACCACGGAGCACAGCCTGAGATCGAAAGTGTTTGATTTTTCCGGAGGGAGGAAAACCGGAGGGCCCGGAGAAAAACCCTTGTGGCACAGGAGAGAACCAACGCACAACTATACTCACATGTCAGGACTCCCATGTCGTGGCCAGGATTCGAACCGTGGTCACCTTGGTGAGAGGCGAGCGCTTTACGAGCAAGCCACCCAATGTACTTATGTTTGTGAGATTTAAATTAATTTTGATACCAAACAAGATCCAAGCTCTCCAAAATTTGAGACGCTCGGATATAGGTGCTATAAAATTAGGGTCCAAAGTGTGACGTTTTCCTGTCCCCATAGTAAATTGTTATTCAAATATCACTAAGAATGTCTATGATTTTCTATTTACATGTACTGGGTAGGTAGTTTGCCATTCATAATCTTTCCTGGAGGACGAACACATTGAGGAGATGCTTCAAAAAATTATACGGCCATAGATATCTGATGTTTATAGGGACAGGAAATTTTAATTCATAGAATGACCCATTTAAAAACACAGTAAGCCCCCCCCCAAAAATAGTCGGTCTCTGGTCAGCGCGCGCTTCGATTTTAACCATGCGCGTCAACCTTTTTTTTTCTTAAAATTGTCCGCGGTAGCTACAACAGCGCCCTCTATTGCCGCACCTCCTCAAATTTTTGCACCAAGGAATGGGGAAATTGCACCAAGGCAAATCATGGAGGGCCCAAAGGCAAATTATGGAGGACACCAATGTATATGAGGACACAAAAAAAGCAAAAAAAGTACCCACCTTGTCTGTACAGTCCAAGCTTTAAAAAAAAAAAAAAGCCAAAAAAACCCCCCCAAAAAACCGTGTCGCCGCATCAATTCTGGAACTTTGGTCTGACCAGAGACCGACTACTTTTTTTTTGTGGCCTAAGTGTGACTTTTTATTTTTGTTCTGGAAAGGACACTTTTTAAAATTTGAGTTGTCATCATCTCCTCTGCATCTTTCTTTCCATCTTCTTTTGTTTCTTCTCATCTACTTCGGGGGCGGGGGCAAAGAACCAGGGCGCTAGGAGGGTGGTCCAGAGCAGGTAGAAGCCCCTGCCTGGGACGATCAACCAGAGAAGCCAGATGGGATGCCAGAGAATGCTTATAACCTGGATGACAGCTGTCACTAAGAGGACATCCTTCACGTGTCTGTTGAGGGTCAGTTAGAGAGATGAATGTCTCAAAGGTTATTCAGAATCAAAGCCGGCAAACAGAACATTTCACCGAGTAGGTCGGATATTCCCCAGGTTTGCAGCATTGCTAATGTTGCTGGCATCGTGACTTTGGGAGTGATCCCTGGCTACATGGCATATACGGGTTTATGGCTTCTGACTAGCGCACCTTGAACAAAGACATTGACAAACTGGAGAACCGCCAACACAGGGCTGGATAGCTCAGTTGGTTGAGCACCGGAACGGCAATCCGGAGGTTGCAGGTTCAAACCCACTCCAGTCAATTTCTTTCTAGGGGTGTGCATTTACGGGTAGAACGGGAATTGGGTATCCGATTGAAAAAAATACACGATTACCTGGGTACCTGTTAAAGAAACCCTACCCCAAAATAAATCTCGGAGGTTGCTGTTCACATTGTTCATGAAGGTTGGCACGATAACACTCCCACATCCGTGAGTCAATACAGCAAAATACAAGTGTGTTCAGTGAGCTCTTTATCTTTACGGTTTAAATTGCATTTTTGCAAGTGTCATAAACGTGAAACTGTTTTGTTTTTCCATGTAGCCTCGTTTTCATTTTGAAAATTCACCATAAATGATGTTCAAAACTCTGATGAACTCTAGAATTGGAGAAAAAAATGCACTCCAGCTTGAAAATCTCAAGAATCAAAAAAGTACAGTTTCAGATGTTGGATACAAAAAAGTAAAAAGTAGAGTCTGTCCCGAGCCAATATGGCCAATCAGGCCGGCGTTTATCTCCGGCTTCAATGGCATGAAACAACTGAGAATATTTCTATTCCCCTGGATGGGATGCCAGTCCATCGCAGATTACTCCCCTGCTAATGCCGGTAACCATTTCTATACTCCTGGGTGGAGAGAGGCAAGTGGGGACGAGGTGGCTTGCCCAAGGACACAACATATGGCCAGCAGCTGGATTTGAACCCCTGACCCTCTGATCATGAGTCATGAACCCTAACCACTAGGCCACACTCCCCCTCAAAGAGATAAAAAAAAACCCAGAATGATATTCGCTGGAAGTCCACGGAATCAGGCAGGGACTGAAAACCTAATGCACATGTCAACTCCGTACTAGTTGAACCATCAGTCACAGAGGTGGCTGGTCAGTCCAACAGCAATGCACAAGTTAGGTCTATGGATATGGCTTGTGAAAACACAGGCGACTTGGGAAGTGGCTTTCATAGACACACTTTTTACAGCCAACCTTAGCCAAGTAAATTTTGTAATGCAGATACGGTCTTAGATTTATAGTCACTTTTGGAGGGGGGGGGTGGGATGAGAAAAGACGGTTGTCTTACTCAGCCAACCCTTGCTCCATGTTGAGATCCACACCACCGTCCAACAGCGCCCCCGTGGGTGAATACTTGGCTCGGGCCATGAAGGACATGAACTGGTAGCAGCCAATGTACACAGCCGATGCGAAGATCAGGAAAAACTGGACAGGAAATAGAGAAAGGTTAAAGCAAGGCTGATGAGAGATGGAAATGCAAGCGTATGGTAGAGTACATTTTGTTATGTCAAACACTGCAACAAAATAACCTACAGTGCAAAGTGTAGCAAAATTGAATATATATATTTATGATGCATTCCCTGTGCTACAGTGAAATCTCATTAAGTCAAACCTCAAAAGAACCGGTTCAAAATTTGACTTAAGCAGAGTTTTGAGTTAAGCAGGGTTGTATATCATTGTTTTACTACTGAAGGGAATGGATTCTTTGTTTGACTTAACAGTTGTTTTTGAGTTATCAGAGTTTGACTTATCAAGATTTCACTGTATTTTCAAGTTTCATTCCAGAATATAGATTCCTTTTCTAAATTGCTATTTTTCTAGCAATACAAAAGGTGTTCACTTTTGAATTACACATCGACCGTTGACAAATTTATTTACAGAAAAAAAAAGAAATTTACTGAAGAGCACAAAGATGACATCTTATGTTGTTGTCATATGCCAGTCTGACAGACAATGACGGCAAACTGTTGCCCACACTGCTGCTGTGTTAAATTTTTCATCCAGTTTTGGACAGAATATAAACATGCACATTGAATGGTCTTTTTGTATGTACATGTATGTTTGTATGTTTGTTTGTTTATTCCGTACCCAGTGTAGCCACGTGAATGACTCCAACCACCACAGTAGTCGGACGACGATATAAGCAGCGCTGGCACCAAACATGATGTTGCGATAGAAGACGAGCGTCTTCTTATTCTCCTCCACAATCTGCTTCTGGCCTTTGGTGGCTACCTTACCCTTTGGCTGGGTAGGAAAACAAGAGAAAAATCATTGATAACGTGGGGAAAAACAAGACAAGTGAAATATGATGGTTAATAAACAGCTGTAAGCACTAATTTTCAGGTCATTGTACGCAGTGGCTTTCTTTATTGTTACAGCAGTCACCCTGTATGGTTCCCTGACCTGACAATGCTCAGCACCAGGATCTTTGGCTCTTAGAGAACCGGACTATTAACTGAATGGTTCTTGGACTTTATAATTATATCCCTTTTAAAAAAATCATCCAAAGCCACGGTTCACTTAAAAAATGAAATCTACTTCAATAAAAAGTATGATTTGATTGAAAACATAAAAGTAAAGAAAAATAGATCTATTATTTAAAACTTCAAAAAAAGGAAAAAAATCTCGGTGCGGATTCGATCCCTGGACCTTAGCTTCTGTGTGTTTGTCCAAACGTTTAACCGATTGAGCTATCAAAGCACTCTGATTGGAATTAGGGCATTTTTAAATATGATATAGATTCGCAATGGACTATTTTTTTGCAATAGGGGGCCTATGCCCGGATGACACTGGATAATTAGAATTAGAACTTAGAATTTGAAAATAGCGCTACATGCCGGTTGCCGTAATGGTAGCCAAATTATTAAATGTCAATTTGTCATGATTGTCCAAGTTACATTTAAGATATTAGTCTTATTACGATAAATATATTCACAGGAAACTTCCAGGCAAACCAAGTGAATAGATGTTGATTATGTTTGACCTTGCGTATACATCATTATATTATTATAAATATTAGAAATTACTTTTTAAATGACTCCCTGAAATTATTCACGAAATAAATGCAACATTTCCGAAGGCGAATACGACCTAAATACATTTGATAGAACTCACCGCCATGCTGAGGATTTCCTTTACCGTCGTTACGTCACTAGATAAACTTGGATGTGTTTCTCATGCAGCCAACGTCAGCAGTCATTAATATAAAAATTTCTAATAGAATTTGAGAAAATAAAACACTTGTTTACTAGTACTACCGTACGGAGGCACCGGTACGTGATCAATCGGCTCTTAATCCGATATGCGCCCTCTATCGTCACTTAACAGCTCGCAGGTCTTTATTATTGGGACGGATGGGCGGGGCAATTTTGATTTCTTTTTTTAAAATAAAGATGAAGGAAAAAGAGTGGATGGACGGGAGAGCTAGAGGCAAGTGTGGCTGAGATTTGAAGTACAAAATAATTGTTTAGGTTTTTTTTGGGGGGGGGGGGGTTGGGGGAGGGGAAGTGAGGGTGGGGCGGCAAGAGAGGGGTCGACTTAAAGTGGTGAACTCCTAGGCTTTTTGGAGGGGGGGGGGGGTGGAGATCAGCTGACATAATGATGGTTTTTAAGTTTTTTGGGGGGGGTGAGGGGTGGGTGGGGGGTCGGGGGTTGATTGGGAGGGGGTCGACTGAGTGTTGAACTCCAGGGCTTCGTGGGGGTGGGGGCCCGGGGCGGACATCGGCTGAGATACCTACATCAAAACAAATGAAGATTGTGTAATAGTTTTTTCCAGAAAGACTTTTTTCACGGGGGAGGGGGGGGGGGGTGTTATTTCACATTGCAGCTACAAAGTACAAACCCTATATCCACCCCATGCTGTCCCACACATTTATGTGTCCTGCTTTTGGTTATGACCATTGCTGTATGTGCATAGGTCACAATCGGTGCATAAAATCGCATGCACATCGATCAAAATAAAATAACTCAGAAAATAATTTCAACAAACTCGAGACAATTAATCATAAATGAATAACTCAAGCCATACATTTGCATTCAATCACATCAAAAGAGACCTTTGACAACTGTGGCATTTCTTTTTCCTCTAAAGCTGATTTATTGATAGTACCTGCAGGTACAAATCTAATTATAACTTGATAATAAGTGTGGCATCATTTTTTTTTTTTAAATTGAGGGCATTTCAGTGCTGATCAATGGAATATTCAAAGTTACAATTAAAATCTACTCAAGTATCTGCTTTTGGTTAAAACCAAGACTACAAACCCAGAATTTTTTTAAATGCTATTAAATATATAAAATATATTATAGAAAAGAAAGAGTATTTTTTTTGAGCATTCACTTTAACCTAACATTCACTGTAACTGCAGAATATATGATAATCCATTGTGCGTTTTACAATATGTTGTCAATGGTTTTTTTTGGCAGTAAACCACTTTTGTAAGTAGTCATCATTCATTCATAAATAACTAAGACAGTTTACTATTAATCAAGAGCCCCTCACGTGGGTAGTTTTAAAGGGAATGTACATCATTGGCTTATGCTTTAATTTTCAGAAATGAACTATTTGAGGGGTTAGTATAATAGATCAAATTATTGTTACACTGACATGTTTGAAGTTTTGTTTTCGAAAATGCTGGAAAAACCAAGAAAAACAAAAACGTTGAAGTAGTCTGATTCCCTGACTCCACTGAAGATGAAATGGATCAATTTACAGATGCCGGAAAATTGTACGCTAAGGGAACCAGTCTAGCTAGCTGACCTGCACCCATTCATGAACATAAAACCAATTAGCAAACAAAATTGGACTGAAAAATAATGGTAAATTTGGAGCAGTAGTGAAAAATAGTTAGGTTTTTCCTACGGTGGTCGGCCGACCACCGTTGGAAATGTAAACAAAAATATAATTTTCTTGAAAATGACTTCACACCAGGTGCCATAATTTTACAAAATGCTTTAGACTGTCATTTACCAACATCCTGTAAGGTATTTCGTAAAAACTTGGTCATTTTATTTTTCGATGTTTGCAAATGTTGTATTTTCCCTTTAAACCGCTGATAAAACACCGGCTGGTTTTATAAACACAATTCAGGAGCATTCTGAGCCACCACCGCGCAGTATAAATTTCCATATAAGGAGATTTTTAGCACTACACGCGCGAGGCACATACCATAGACATGGCCAGATGGGTGTTTCACAAAACATGACGTAAAAATGTTGAACAAAACTGTAGACATTTTGTGAGTTTTTATCTTGTTTGGACTTTTTGACTCAAAGGTATTTATGAATGGGAATAAAATTAGCCGGTATTAATCAAGTACATTTAAAACCGGATCAGGGGCCTAATTAAAACCGGCTCAGCCTCTAGCCAGTTTTAAACACACTTGTATAAAACCAGCCAAGTACATATTGATTCCCCTAATTAAAGGGAATATACAACATTTGCAAACATCGAAAAATAAAACTACCAAGATTTTACGAAATACCTTACTAGGATGTTGGTAAATGACGGTCTAAAGCATCCTGTAAAATTATGGCACCTGGTGTGAAGTCATTTTCAAGAAAATGGTATTTTTGTATACATTTCCAACGGTGGTTGGCCGACCACCGTTGGAAAAACCTAACTATTTTTCAACTACTGCTCCAACTTTACACTTTTTTCAGTCCAAATTTGTTTGCCATTGGTTACATGTTCATGAACGGGTGCAGGCCAGCTAGACTGGTTCCCTTACCTTACAATTTTCCGGCATCTATAAATTGGTCCATTTTATCTTTAGTGGAGTCAAGGAACCAGACTACTTGAACATTTTTGTTTTTCTTGGTTTTTCCAGCATTTTCGAACACAAAACTTCAAACATGTCAGTTAAACAATATTTGATCTATTATACTAACCCCTCAAATAGTTCATTTCTGAAAATTACAGCAAAAGCCAATAATGTACATTCCCTTTAAGCTATCCTAAGTTAATATTAGGCTATACGAGTACTTAATATGAAAAAAAGGCACAAATTGGAAGACACGATTATTTATTGTAACATTTAACCAAAATAGAATTTGCCTACATTTGTATCATGTCACCATCATTTACTATGAAATCAACTATCTCACACTGATCCTTTTCCTACACCAAGTTAAAACCAAAAAACAAAAAAGGGGGAAAAAAGGAAACTGTTACTTTTCCTTCACAACAGAAAGCAATTTGGACCAAGTAAACTTAGGAAATGTCATAAACATACGGGCAATTGACAATGGAAACTGAATTAATTGGGAAATACTGAAGTTAATCATTTCATACATAATTGTGCATAATCCCTGTGTTTGAAGAATGTTGAAGAAGCACTCTAAATGTAATTAATTATTTAATATTAAAATAGAAAATTATTACATATTTTTTAGTCAGCTATAACAGTGCACCATAAATTGTGCAACAGGCACATTAAGAACAGTGCAATTTCAATAAAAATTTGTGATATAATTTATTTGTTATTAACCTTTATTTGGTACAGATTTACAAATGAAAAAATAAGCAAAAAAAAGCAAGTGCTAAAATTGTCAAGTGGTATTCCCCATGGAGGTCAGAGGCATTAAGCATTCAAATTGGCAAAAAGGGGGCCAAATACTGGGGCAGCTAGTCTTGACCTGAGACTGTATTAAGATTCAGTTCGCCTAAAGGACGGTTCATACTCCATGCGAATGCGATGCGAATTTGAAGTCACGAATCATTCGCAGCAAACTTTGTGGGGTTGAAATATCGTCACCGACACCACGAAGTAACACCCATCTACATACCAATAAAAACTAGCAATCAGAGAAAACGGCTACTAAAGTTGAATGCCTTCTAAAACAACACTTTGCGTCAAAACAACAGAGTATTTTCAGTTGGGTTTCTCGTTGTGGACACTTGATGAATTGAATTTATTAAATATGCTGTTTTTCACCCGTTTGTGTATTAAATAAACAAGAAATAAGAGAAAAAAGATGAGTGTTAGTTCGTGAATCCAAAAAGGCTGCGAAACTGTAAATTTTCGTTTTCACGAAGTAACACTCTTCAATGTATTCAACACGAGGAAAGTGCAACTTCAGGTCAGCGCGCGCGCACTCATACAACTTATTACAAGAAGAGTGTTACTTCGTGAAAACGTTTTTGCTCACTTATGAGCAGAGTGCGCGCCATGCATTGCAATGGTAAATGGAACTTGAGTGTTACTTCGTGAAAACGAAAATTGTCACTTTTGCGCAAAAGTTGCCATGGATACTTAGCGTAATTATTACAGTAAAGCTCTTGAAGCTTTGAAACTTCGTGCAATGGTAGGCCTTGATGAATAATGTTTAAAAATCCAAAAAACTGAAAATCGAAAAAAATGGGGTTTAACACGGTAGAGTGTTACTTCGTGGTGTCAGTACGATATGTTCAACTTTTGCAAATTTGCAGCGCGAAAAACTTGCCCTGAAATCAAAAATTGGCATTCACGGTCACTTTCGCACCGAGTATGAACCGGCTTTAACACGGCCAGTAAATGGCAAGAGCAAGCCCTACAGCACTAGAGGGTGTTGTCCGTAAGATGAACCAAATCAACTCTTTTTTGGAATTTCATCACTCGGACCAGAGAAATTCTCAAATGCACGCCATATTCTGCATTACACGATTTTGGTCGGGTCCCAGTGCTGAAATCCCCCAGACTGGATACTGCTACCATCGTCCTGAACGATGTTCAAGCAAGGACGATCTATGCCCAACTTGTCAAGGATTCCTCTTCAAGAAGTCCTCTCCACGTGGTTCTGAAGGGCCTGCCTGAGGATGGACACACCAAAGTCCATGTCTTCCTTGGTCACGATCATGGCGGGCTTGATGCGGAACACCTGTGGATCAGTGAACATTAGCAAATGATATCCGTTTCCGACAGGTATCCGGGTTCCCACTAAAACATTTCACATGAAACTCTATGAATTGTCCATAAATTTTCCAGACAAAATTAGGGCTCTCTATGACAAGAACTCCTATGAGCATCTTTAATTAGGAGCCTATTTACAATACACTGGCTAGTCATCACACTGAGGCAAGGGACGCCACTCCCTTTCACAGTGTTATCCAACTTTGAAAATTAAAGGTCGGTGCGCCGTCAAAAAGCGGAGGGGGGGGGGGGCGCTATAATAATGTTAGGGGCGCTGTCATACATTTCTTCATGCTAGGGGGGCTATTTGCAGATGAACATGTACATTATGTACGGATAACAGCTTTTAGGCCATTTCTAACACAGTAACACTAACAATTAAGTACAATACTGGCTCAGCATCATCTTTTTTAACACATCAGTGACCAGGGACTCTGAGGCAGTTTGGCCTTGAGACTTTTGACCTGATTGATTGCTACAATGGGCAGGCTTGTCAGTTTGACAAGTGTTCCATGTTATTGCTTTTGGCAGAGTTTCTGGCCAAAATGTACCCTGGAGGGTAAGGGTAGTCCCACTTGTTTTTCTTTTTTGTAATTTTTTCCTTTTTTTTAAGCATGGCGGGCAACTTTTTAAGCTTGGCGGCAGCTTTTAAAGCTTGGCGGGTGCCTCAGGAAGCTTGGCCGGGCACCAGGTTATATTTACAGGTTGGAGAACACTGCTTTCAGCCTTCCAGCTTGACACAAGACCACTGAGCACCACAAATGATCACAACGGTGCAGTGGAACACATGCATCCAGTACAGAGTGGCATGCATAAAGAGGAAGTAGCTAGGCCTATGGTTAACTGGAAGACTGCCATATCCCAACTACACATCATCACATGTAGGTTGTGCAGGATTCCATGACTTTTCCGTGACTTTTTTTCCGGGAATATCAACTTTCCATGACTCCTTGTAACATGACTTTCTATGAAAGCGTTAAATTCTAGGATTGTCCACACTTTTCCATGACTGGGGGAACTGTGTGGTATTCCAGAATCAGGCTGACTCAAATATTATGTGTAATAGTCGACCCCAATAGATTTTCGTTTCAGAATGAGCAAAGCTTATTATCAACTTGTCCATCCCCAGCATGGCAGCTATTTCGAGGAATACTCACATTTGCGTGGACTCCTCCTTTGCCCATTAGGACGCCCATTTCCTTCATGTCTTCCCATATCGCTCCCATCTTGTCGGCTGGAAGAGGCGTCCTGGATTCCTGATGAAAGAAGGGGCAAAAAGAACAAAACGCTAACAAACAGAATGGATTTCGATTATGTAATCTAAGGTGTGACCCAATTTTTGTTGAGGACTCCCTGTAAGGTTTGATTTTGAGTCCATGAATTCTAGTCCGAGTATTTTGATATTTAAGTACCAGTGCACGTACAACTATTCTCAACTAGGCGGTTCTCTAACCGCGCATGTCGTCTACTTTTCGCGATTATCTTTAAAGAGTGACCTCTGACCGTGATATCTAACCTTTGACATCATTATCATATGAAGTTTCCCATGTTGCATCTATGACTCAAGTTTGGTTCCAATTGGACAACTTTTCAAATGAGACCAATTTTACATTTTCAGCCTATTTTACAACTTGAGCTCAGATGACCTTTGTCCTTGGTATGTGACCTTTGACATCATTATCATATGAAGGTTGCCATGTTGCATCTATGACCCATGTTTGGTTCCAATTGGACTTTAACTTTTCAAATGAGACCAATTTTTGGAAACTTTAACCAAAATACCACATACATACAGATATACATACGGACAGACATAGTGATTGCATGGTCTCTTTCCTGACCTTCGTTCAGACGAGACAAAAAGTAATTGAGTTGTACTTAAGTAGAGTACCAAGTACGACTTCCGAGTACAAGTGCTACAACAATGGTTCTTACCTTGTCGGTAACCATCTCAACCCCGATCATCAGCCCCTTGCCTCGGACGTCGCCAACGATCTCAAACTCGTCTCTCAGCTTGGCCAACTCCAGCAACGTGTAGGTGCCGACATCAAGGCAAGTGGCTTGTGTGTTCTCCTCCTCAATCACCTCAATTTAAATTTAAAAAAAATTACTTAAGTATAAAATAAATCAAATGTAAAATTGTCATCAATAGCCAGAAACCTATTGTGCCAGGTTGGTTTAGATTGAACTTTGCTTGGGTTCAGTGCTGAAGTCATGACCTGTCTCAGTTCATAAGGAGATTTTCTAAACAAAATGATCCAGATCACTCCCCAAAATCCTCCCAAATCCTCTTTGCGAAATGGATTTTGCAGGCTTGAGGCTATATGGCTACAAAGTGTGGCTGATTTTGGAGGATGCACCGTGTCAAGGTTTTGGACCGGACCTTGTGTTATTTATGCACAGCTGTGCATAAATTTAGGCCTACATTTTACTTGATATCCTCCGCACTGCTCCAGGATGTCACTGGCTCTGCCTCAACATATTGACAAGTGGTTGCTGGAGGATTTTGCAGGATTGAGGCAGTGGTCACCCCTCCAAGGACCACCTTCAAGAACTAACCGTGGATTTTGCAGGATTGAGGCAGTATGCAACTTTTACATGGAGGCAGTTGGAGGATTTTACAGGATTGAGGTCGCATCCTAGCAAAAATGCCAAGGGAGTTAGGGTTAATGACCAAATACAATAGACATTCTCTAACCTTCCTCCTCATCACCCCCCCCCCGAACATTCTGCCAATTAGGTGTTAATATTTCCCACATTTTTATTATTTTGTATGAGGAAATAAAAGCATCAGCACCTCACACCACAACTAATAGCAATACCCTCTCCCTTTTCAATTTTTTGTTATTAACAAAACAAACAATACATTGAGGCCACTTTTTTTCAGAAAAAAACAAATACAGTCGACTCTCGTTAGTACAAACTCTGTTAATACAAAATTCTGGTTATAACAACCATGAAGCCTTGGTCCCGACTGTGCATTTATGTGCACAATGAATGGGACTGATGTTCCTCTTAATACAAAATTCTGATATAACAATTTGGCTAGGTCCGAACGAGTTTGTTATAATGAGAGTCGACTGTACCCATTTTGCCATCCTCGACGCAAACCCCAGATGTGCATTTGATAGGGAAGTCCCAATTTTCCAGACCTGCAACCACCAAACCACCATATGACTGTCCTGCGAGGAACGGTCTGCTGTATTCCTTAACTACACTGCCCTCTGGATTACCTCCAAAACAGCCTTTCCAACGGCTCCTGCTAGAGGGCTCCCTCCAAACGTACTGATGTGCAGCGCTCTGGTTAGTGACTTGGCGATTTCTAGAAAATATTAACAGAACATATGTGAAGCGTTCAGGCAAAATCAGACGGAACTGGGTTCAGGTAATAGTGGAGAAAAATGCCACAAAAAAATTTAAGGGAGATTTTGATTTTGATTTTTAGATTGATATTTGTAATCTTTGATATGTCTACTAGAAAAGAAATTTAAAAGAAATAGTATAAATATCGTATAATGAAAGTGTTTTATAAGAAAAAAAACACTGGGCATCTTTCACTTTCATAAACACAAAACTTGAAAGACACATTTAAAAGAAACAGTATAAATATGGTGCAATGAAAGTGTTTTATAAGGAAAAAAACACTGGGCATCTTTCACTTTCATAAATACAAAACTTGAAACTCTATTATTAAACAGCCTTCTTCTCAGTATTTTTGATATGTCAATAAACAGTCATAACTTGTCAACAGCACATCCGATTGAAGTGCATCAAACACTATTGTAAGATTTTATTCTCTTTCCTAATAGCAGAGCTGCCAACATTTGCATCTTGCAATCAGGAAGATTGTGTACAACAATCAGGGAGATATTTAGAATTGCATTCAACATAATAGGGACAAAGTTTCCATAATCAGGGAGATTTTCCCAATTTGTTCATCAGAGCATGGAAAGATTGGTTTATATTCAGGGAACTTTCTGCAGAATCAGGGAGAGTCAGCAGCTCTGTAATAGCTGCAAACCCACATTTTGACCTCTGCCCAGTTCTGTCTCACGTTGCCAGAATGCCTCAGGTGGTCAATGCTTTTAGGAAATAAACGTTTTGATACTTATCAATACATCCCGTAAACATGTAACAACAAACTAAGCGTGCAAAACATTTTGAAAACATGATTTTCCGATGTACTCCTCACAAAGCTGGGACACATAGAGCTCTGTCTCCATTAAACACAACAAAGCAGTGCCTTACCTGGAGTGGTGACTACAGCCGCAAGAGGGAACCCGTTACCAATGCCCTTAGCCAGAGTAACTGTGTCAAGAAGAAATGAAATACAGGGTAAGAAAAAAAAAATGTCCCTTTGGATTAGTTCTTGTCTCCCACAAAACAGGAAAAGTAACCAGGGCTATCTTTCAGCCAACAATCAGTCTGGGTATAGACCACGTTCAGTAAGTTCCTTATGAGTTGCGCATTGACATTTTTTTCAGTAGTTTTGAAGTAATCAAAAAAAAAAAAATTCGACGTTTTGAGCGTACAGCTGCGTATTGAAAATTTTTGATAAGGAACTCATAAGGAATTATGATATGCAAAAGTGTGACAGGGGCTTAAAATGTTCACTGATATTCAGCCATGCATGAACAGGATACATGCCTTTCTTTTAGACTACCCGAAAACACTGCCAACACAATGTTCAGCCTCTTGCTATCAACACAACAGAAACAATGGGCCTCTGGACAATGAAGGAAAAACAGAACAGGATATGAATGAAATGGAGTTACATTTATTGAACTTGGTTCTGAATCACAGATAAGGTTCACATTTTCACTGTCCTGCTGCTCGACCTTCCCCCTGTCTGCCAGTCAGAGCAATGCACAGTTGAGGCGAAGAACACGGACGGTCCGCAGAGCTGTTGCAGACATGATTACACGGGCACAACTATGACTATCTACAGAGTGCAATTGCTGCCAGCATAGGAACGATGGATCTCTGGTATTTTTAAACTTTGACGCGAGCCCTTTTCATATGCTTGTGTTGAAAGAAAAGCTTTTACTGGCTAATGTTGTCCTACACGTTACAGCTTAACACTCTAACTGGTTCCCACTCACAGAACCAAAATTTTACTTGGATTAAAGATCGTAGCTGTAATTCAGAAGAAAACCAAGAAAGGCAAAATATTTCCAACGATCAGTCAACTGACTGATTTTGGGAAATATAGAGTGCTTTTGACATAATCAATTTTCGTGATGAAAAGGTTGTGCATTTTTTCTCGAAAAAGGATGAGATCCACTGAGCTGACACTTCAACAGGCTAGCATTTGAACATTTTGCTTCAGATCTTGAGTGCTGTTTTTATTGGAAACAAACAAAGTTCATCAAACACAAAATGATCCTATATGCCTTTTATGTATCACAAAACACTTACCAATGTCAGGCATGACGTCATGCGCTTCAAAACCCCAGTAGTGCTCCCCGGTCCGACCGAAGCCCGTCTGCACCTCATCTGCTATGCAGATTCCCCCCTTTTCCCGGACCAGTTCAAAGGCTTCCTTCAAGTAACCCTTTGGGAACTGGACCGTACCACCAACTCCCTGGGGGTGAGGGAATTCAGATTATAAGGTTGACAAAGTTTTGCCATGTACCGTACATGTTGGACTTGAGCAATGTTATCTTATCGTTTTTATTGTGAATTTTATATCTAGTGGTATTGGTAGGTCGAATAAGTAAGAACACCAAAAGAAATACCTGGACAATCTCGGATATATCTTGAATATAGTTACAAAAATCACATATATACTTTCAGCAGTTTACATGAATAGTTTCAGCAATCATATGGATACATGCAGAAAGTTACTAGCATAGTTTCAGCAAATAACTTGCATACTGGCATCAAATTAATACAGGATACTTTTCAGTAAATCATGTGGAAAATCTTCAGCGAATTACCAGCGTGATCAGGAAGTTTCCCAGATGCTTTCAGCAAATTAGCAGGATACTTTCAGCAAATTAGCTGGGTATTTAAGAGAAAATTACCTGGATACTTTCAGCAAAGTACCTGGATACTTTCAGCAAATTACCTCGATACTTATTTGATAATTATCTGTATACCTTCAATAAATTACCTGGGTACTTTTACCCAGATATCGTCAGCAAATCATCTGGATACTTCAAGCAAGTTCCTTTAATACTTTCAGCATGTAATCTGAATACTTGAAGCAAATTTACCTGTATACTTTCCGCAAGTTATCCATATACGTTGAGTGAATTACCTAGATACTTTTGCCCAGATATCTTCAGCAAATTATGTGGATGATTTTGGTAAATTACCTGGATACTTTAACCCTTACCACCCCAACCCTTCAAAATCCAACTGCATGTTTTGTTGGAATCTGTTGGAGTGAGTACTACACTAGTAAACTGATCATGCTTTCCATTGGGTCAGGCATATAACCATAATCAGAGTCCAACAGTTTGGGTGTTGAGTTACCATATGATGTTGGATTTGGCATGAGTGAGGAAGGATCCTAGTAAATCACTCAAGGGGGTTAAGGTTAAGCAACATACCTGGATACTTTCAGCAAACATGCCAGCGATCTTTTTTGGTGTCGAGTGGCGAAACAGATCCTTCAACTGGTCAATGTACATGTCCTTTGCATGGCACTGTCCAGCGGCGCAATCACAGTTTCGAATGGTCTACATCAAAACAAGATTGAATGAAAGCATCAAAACAAACAACAGGTTACACTGTGCAGCAGTCCGTCTTGCCCTGGATCACATGTCATCACACACCAATCGCAAATCATCAAGTCCCAAGTCCGAATTCGTCCCAAGTCAACCCCAAGGGTATTCACATGAACAGTTTGTAAGGCATTCCTCTGTTTATACATGGTACTGCTCATTCCCCGTTACGTGAGTCTAGGCTTGTGAACCGACTTGTGATTTACTTGTGACATCCTTGTGATCCACCATAAGTACCTCGGCTATAACACTGGTGATGATTTTAAAACAATAGTGATTTGTGGAAGCTGGACACCAGCAATACGTGGTGCTGTTCATGATAGAAATCTATACATTTATTGACAAAGTTGTGTTGCAGCTGTTCTGGCCATTTTCCAAGTCGTGGAAGACAGTTTTCCAACATCTTCTACTGCTACCTCATCAATTAAATTCAACTTAAAATAGTAGTTGAAAAGATTTTTCGTTCTTCCTTTTTTTCCATTTTTTTTTAAAAGGCCTCTCAGAGGTGAATCACAGGGTTCAAACATGGAGATTATCTTGTTGGGGTTGGGGTGGGGTGGGGTGGGGTGGGGGTTTGGGGTGTGGGGTGGGGTTGTGGGATGGGGGTTTGGGGTAGGCAGGTAGGGGTTGGGGTGGGGTTGAGGGTTTGGGGTGGGGTCAGGGAAAGGGCTTCACAACCTGAAGATACTCCTGTCAGAATCCCGATACACAAAGCATCCAATCATTCATTCAATCAGCCGTCATGATACATGAATATTACCTGCACTGGTGAATCCCGGCAGTTCTTACCGCCCCAGGGACCCCTGAATGGATCTGGGTTGATGGCGTTGTGATAACCGTAGCCTCCTGGGAGCTCATACAGCCAACTCCCTACGCTAGTCAGACCAAGCAAGTTGGGACTGATACCATGGTAGGCATTCCTTCAGCAACAAAAAATGACAGAAAATGAGAAACCAGCCTAAAAGTGTCGTAGTAGATTCCACTTCAGAGTCCAACAAATATATATGCAATTGATATCGTGTGGTTGGATACTGCAATTTCATTGGTTGAGAACGGCCACGTGTCCAGTCTGTAAAAAAACCCCGCATATACAATGGTTAACCTTATAACCAATGCGCACTGCACGTGCGCGTGTAGAACCTGCACGCGCCCTCGCGACTGAGATGAGAACTGCATGCATGCAATGCGCAACCGTCAGTCTCATGTTGGGCAGGAAAGCAGTTATCAGGGGTTACACCACACTGGTTTAATGTGTTTCTTGCAAAGTACATGTAAGTTGCAACCAGTTATCGTTTTGACTTATTGGCAAGATATAACAAAACAATGGTTGACTGCTGTGATGTGGGATATGCCGCTCTTAATCCTCTATGCGCCCCTCAGGTGTTACAAGCGTCATGCCTCACATCACAGTGCATTATTAATTATAAGCAGGTACACACTGGACAAAACTAATCCATGAGCCTCTGCAAACTGTGCATTGGGGCTACAACATGTATGCTTCTCTGATGCCATACAGCCTGCATGTTTGAAGCAAACAGTACGTACGTGTGCGTTGTATGTTTTAGCATGCATGTCAGACTTTTGTCGGATATTTGGTTGAGCAATACAGGCTGTGATTGGTGAAGACATCATGGGGGGGATCCGGAGCTTGATAGATCAGGGCCCAATTTCACGGTGCTGCTAAGCACACAATTTTCTGCTAACAGAGCCTCCGTTCATGGAGAACCGTAAGCATAAGCACAGCAAAAGGCACTCTTACTTCGGAGGAAAAATTTGCTTAACTTAGTGACGTAACAATGGAAATCGCCATGCACGCGCGACCGTTAGCACACACACGCCGTGAAATAGTGCTTAAGGTTAGCAAATTTTTCTGCTATGCTAAACACAACTTTTGTGCTAACTGTTAAGCAGCGCCGTGAAATTGGGCCCAGTCTCTTCCATTTATATTAGCGTATATTTCAATATATTTCAGGAACTTGACAAAGTTGTCCAAACATATGTTTTTTTTTATATTACGGGTGGGTGTCTTAGTATTACATGACAAGGATGTGTGCTGAAAATTTCTAGCATTGTTTTTGCTGTTTGTTACTTCAGTAACTTTGCAACTTTTGGCACGTTTTGTGGAAATCCTGGAAAATAACGAAAATGTGTAATGGCAACTGAACTTCACTGTATGTCATGTCATACATGCTCACCTAAGGCTGACTATGTCGTAGGCACCGGTGTACAGACGCGCCATATTCACTGCTAGATCATTGGCTTCCGTCCCGCTGTTAACAAAATAGACGTTCTGGAATGCAAACAGAATTTCAACAATTTAATCAGAAATGATTTTGATAAAAAGGCCAGATATTCATTTTTTTAGTGCTCTGGGTAGGAATTTTGTCAATTTGAGCTTGATATCCCTGCACACTGATGGAAGATATTATATCAGTTATCCCACAAGCGCGAGTGGAACATGGAATAATATAGAGCGTCTGTGTCCCCTATGGAACACAGATGCACTACATTTTCCGTGTTCCACATACATGTTTTGGATTACAAATGTACCTTCAAGCAAATTTGACGCGCAGTAAAGATAAAATATAGACCCTGTAGTTGGAACCGTTCAGCGGTTATCTTACCACGCTTACAGCTGGAAAAGTGCACGCATAATAGAATAGCGTGATTGTCATAGACCGTAGTATATCGCACTGTTGTTGCCAAGGATCGACTGATCAGGGTGGAGGATTCAAGTTTGCTTGAAGATAAAATAAATGTTAAACCTTGAGGTTGCCCGGCATTTTGGAGACCAGTTTCTCGGCATACTCGTAGACGGCTGGGATCATGTAGATGTTGGTGGTGTGCCAAATCTTGTCAATCTGCTCATGCAAGGCCTTGTTCACTTTACTAAAAACGATGATTGAGAAATGAACAAAAACACTCAAGTTGACTGAATCTCTTTATTCGGCCCAAAAAATGTTTTAGTTTAAAAACTACCCCAATGCGATAGTTCTACGAAAAGCGCATGCGCAACGATAGTCGACTGTGCGTGTGTATTCACCCTGTGCGTGAATCCTTGCTCGCACTTGGCAAATAGCAAAACTAGTTGCTGACATGTGATGGTGAATGGACCAGTGTGAATTCAGTTCTTGCTCATAAATATGGGCCACAGTATAGCTATGGGCCCCCCGGAAAGAATGTAGTATCCTGACGCCACTTCTTTGGTTGTGTACATAGTCTATGGAGAGTCGATCAAAGTATTTCCTAACAAAATTGGAAATGTATTTTCAGTCCCAGATTCATGTCTTTTCAACATTTTTGCAATGACTGACCTTCATTGAGATAAAGTATGATGAAAAAAGTAGCGTCAGGATGCAACATTCTTTCCGGCCCCCCCCCCATTTTTTTTATCATTCCAAAATGAATTCTACAACCTTAGACACTAATAGGCAGTATTCTAATGACCCTATTTGTTTTGTAATTTTGAACAGCATCTGTTTTGTAGAAAATGTAATTTTCTTGCCTATTTTCAGTTAATGTCTTTATTTTGATATTGCATTGTGTTGTCTTTATCGTCGTTCCCCCCCCCCCCCCCATTGCCTCAAACAAACTCAAAGCCCTGCCCTCTATACCAACAACATTTTTGTTGCTTTTTAAAATCACTAACTATTTGGGTTAGTACAATACTCTACGAGTGGATTTTTGTTCCTTAATAGGAACGGGGCCCATCCCTTTACAATTGCCTGAATATGTATGAGGTACAGTAATATTTAATTTACAGAGTGCTGGGACAAAATTTTTAAAAGTTGCACGTTCAAATCGTACGGAAGCTTGACCCTAACCCCGCCAGACGCAACACAGTGCATCAGGTGAAAAGTCTGGTGCGCTTTGATGCATTCAGCTATCAACACCAGTGCATAAACGGCCGCTTCTGAGACAATGTCAGCTAATCCTATTGAACAATATTATGTAACAATATCATGTATGTCTGTCACTTGTTTGTCTGTTCATAGGCTGGGTAACAAAACCAGCGTCACCCTGGACCTAGATGTTGCCATTTAATTAAAGGTCACTATTTTATCAATTGTAAATATAACATGTATCGTCCTTTATGGCAGCATTGAAATATATCTAATCTCAATGCCACAGCTGTATCCTGCTGCATTCGGTGACCACCAACTCTGAGGCAGTTTGGCCTTGAGACTTTTGACCTGATGGATCTTGCTACACTGGGCAGGCTTGTCATTTAGACAAGTTTTGCATTTATTTATTTATTAATTAATTTATTTATTACATTTCTTTACCCAGGGTATGCCCAAAACAGTTTAAAACTGGTTTCCATTGGGCCCTGCATACGCTACAAATGACTACACACATGTTTACAATACATTACAAATACAATACAGCACAATGAAATAAAAGAAAAGCTTATGAGATTACTGCATGATACTAAAGCAACTATTATAAATATTGTACAATTATTACAAAGAAATTTTATGACGAAACCTCAAATCTATACTGCGCTGTCTCACAAGCCTTTCTATGGGACTTACTGCACAAAGTGAAACCAGTGCCCGGTTGAATACCTCTCAAATTTGCTTCAAAACTGTTGGGTTTGAGGTCTTGGGTTGTTTCGCATCTTATTGCCCTGCTCACTAGCTATTTATTTCATTTATGCATGTTGCTGCGTTTAGCAGGGTTTCTAGACAAAATACCCTGGAGGGTTAGCAGTTAACAAAATATATCATGGATTGAGGTTGGACATCGATATTCGCTCCCCGAGGTATTGGAAGCCGAGGGAACTAGTTTGTCAACTTCCAATACCGAGGGGAGCTAATATCGACAGCCACCCCAAATAAACCATGTTATAGGCTATTTGTTTTACTGTACTATACCTCATACATATTCAGCTGACAATTTTTTTTTCCGTTGCAGTATGCACCTCAAACAAAATCTTCAGAGAAACTTGTACAGCTCACTAAAAGAATATTACTGCTCAACTTCACTTGTTGAGTTCGTTTGCAATACAGTAACTACAGTTGAAAATACAGTTGTTTGTGGACAACTTTCTTTGTACAGGAGGCATTTTTATTGTGCGTAAATTTTCTCCAGCTCGGCATCATTGAGTTCGGGAAAATTAACATTTACGCGTATCGTGCAACCATCTCTTCATGTAGCTCATTTGGGCAATGTTCGCGTGTGCGTACTACACCCATGCGGCAGTTCCATGATTGTTTTGTAAAGCTTTAAAGTACAGGGTGGTTAAAAAAAAAGGACACCCACAAATTGACAGCAATTTTCACCTATTTAATTTTCACCTATTTAATGAACTTATTTTAAATATTTTATCTCATAGTATTACAGTATAGGCCTTTAACTATGCATGGTGAAAAAAAGCTTAGTAAAAGTCGCAAACATAGTGATATTATGCTAATTTGAATACCACCGAAATCAGTCTTGTCCACGAGTTATTCTATGTAAATTTTACGTTTTCGTAGTTCATAAAAATTAAAAAAACCTTCCCACCAAAATATATTTCGCCATGGTACTTTTTTTTGAAGCCGTCCAATTATTCATGTGAGTGTTAAGATCATCTACTCAATGAGCTGTCGGCTTAAGTTCACTGTTGCATAACATTACATAACATAACAATTAAATGTCATGCCCTTTCAAATAAAGCTCCGATAGCTGAGCTCAGTCAAGCGAAGGGAATGTATACCTCCGTGGACAAACAGGTTTCGCACATAAAATGTTCACATAAGCATAGCTCAACAACAAAATGTGCAAATGCAATGATTTTTTTGTCACATTTGCTTAAAGGCCAGTACTTCAATAGCTATTATATAACTGACATACAGATCCTAGTCATTTGATTGGTGGAACTCACATCACGTGGCATTCGTTATTGCTCCCATTCATGCCACGGCTCAAAAAGTACTATCCGCCCATGGGGAATGGGAAATACTATTCAACAGTTAGGATCATGACGCGGTATTTGTGTGCAAATGCATGCTGGTGTGCGCGTTCAGCGTTGTGCATAGCGCGAATTGTTCCAAAGAGCCAGCGCTACAGCGTTGGGTTCAAACATTTTCGTGAAGGGGTGGTTTGGAAGAGACAAATACATTTTCCTCCAGGTTTGTATTGAAATAAAAGTTCAAATATATCAAATGACAAGGATCTATATGTCAGTTATATAAAACAAATATTGAGTGGCTTTAAATTGTGAAATGGGAGGAATATTATCGCTCGGTAAAATCTGGACTTTTCCATTTCACTCGGCTTCACCTCATGAAATGGAATGTCCAGATTTTACCTTGCGACAATATTCCTCCCATTCCACGCTGAGCCACTCAATATTTGTATACTAATCGACAGTTAAAAATAATTTTTAAAATAGGTGAAAATTGCTGTCAAATGTGGGTGTCCTTTTTTTAAAACCATCCTGTAGGCTGTCGCATGGGTAACCCATGCGACAGCCTACTACGCATGCGCATTTACCCTGTGTGTGAATCCTTGCGCGCGCTTGGTAAACAGCAAAAACAACATCCGGCACGTGATGGTGAATTGACCAGTGAGAGTTCGGCTCTCGATCATGAATATGTATGAGGTATAGCAATTAGGGTTAAACCTTCGATTGGCTAATGGTACTCACGGGTGGCAGTGGCCAACACTGACCGTCACAATGCCGGAGAAGAGATCCAGGTAACGTTTGCCGTCCTGGTCAAACAGCCACTGCATGTAGCCCTGGTGGAACATGACCGGCTTCTTGTAGTACTCGAGGATCGCTGGGTTGATGAGGGAAGTCCGAACCTCTCTGGCTTTCTCGTAAGACATGCCCTGATGCAGAACAAGAAGGATTATTACTGTGGTTTTGGAAGGGAGGGAAGATATGCTTAGACGGATCACTGGCGTAAATCCTGGGGAATGGACCGATCCAATATAAGCCCCGCCCCCATGATGTCGTTTTTCAGACGATTGCAGATGCCCAAATTAGAATCAAAGTAGTTCTTTTCATTAAAATGACAAACAAACAACAACAAAAATTTGTCAGATAAAAAAAGGTCTTTAAATTTAAATTCTTTCAACTTGAATTAAGTTAAACTTTTAACAAATAGCTGAGAATGGGTATATAACACTGAAATGTAAACAAACAAATTTGGGCTTTATGCTATGTTCTAGCAGACTCTGCTGTTTAGCTTTGTTAAAAAAACTACAGTGGTGGTCATATTACCTTTGGATTCATTTTTTATGGGTGGGAGGGGCTGGGAGGGGGAGGGGCAGAAGGGGGGGGGGGGAAAATTGGTCCCTTCTCCCCAAGTACCTTGTATTCTGCCGGTTTGAAGTCTGTATCAGGCATGGCAGCAATGGCCGGCATTGACGGCGGTGCCTTGGCATGTGGACGACTGACTGAATAAGACAAAAAAAAATCCATGGCCAAAATTGAAAAGGTAATTTTTGTTTTACTCCGTTCTATAAACCAGTGCACGCAAGTGTCTGTATGGGCTCCCCATCTTGGGAAGTCTGAGTATCACCTGTTCTCCACGGAGCCCTATCTATCTCCGGTCGAACGTCTGACATTTCCTGACACGCAAATTTATGCAAGCCGCGCGCCAGCCAATCGGAGTCGACTTTACTAAATCGTGACGTCATTACATTCCCAAATAAGGACTAATGCTGTGATTGGTCAATTGGAATGCAGTATTTTGTAATACAACAGCCGGGAGCGCATTCGCGTAACATGATACCGAGCGCCGCTCCCATGCCTATGACGCGCAATGGGTGAATGACCAAAGACCTGATAGGCCTATAGAAAGCGCCCGCTGACTGGTCAAAATCTAGGAAGTCAAGAGGTGGGGTCTTGCCTAATTAATCAGCAAATCTGTTCGCGCATAATACCGTGGTCTATTACATCTATAATGGACTACATCTTGGGTGGAGAGAGGCAAGATGGGGTAAAGAGGCTTGCCCGGGGACACAACACCTAGCCAGTAGCTGAATTTGAACCCCTGACCCTCTGTTCACGTGTCACAAATCATAACTACTAGGGCACACTCCCCTCTGTTTCTTCAATCAATCTACGTCCAATATCATGGAGATGCCAAAGTACAGAAAACTGCTATCCCGTTCGTTACTAGTACAAACGTCATACACGCGCGTGCACCACTATTACTAGCACCCATTGGACAAATGCTCGAGTTGCGTTAACTTCCGTGTGAAGTATGCGTGGTTGAATTGAGATGACGTCACACTAAAGAACCGGATAAGCACAGAATTTGCTTACCAAAAACCTTGTTACCAATACTGTACTAAATTATGTCCCAAAAAAAGTGTCCGTCTGACTATTTTCAAAATAACTACAAAACCACGAGGTCAATTTTGAAAATTTTTGGTTGAGAAACCCCTATGAGTTCATTTAATTTCAGTCACGCATCACTACACAACTATCAAATTGATCGCAACAACATTTTTGGAGACTATGACGAAGTTCCTTGCCTCAGTCAATTTCAGTACTGTGAGCTGTGTAAAATCCTTCATGTTGAGAAAAGGGCTGCAGATGGGATTGATATCATTTAATTACCTGGCTATCAGTCATCATGGCAAGACATCAGTTTAATGCTCAAGGGCAAATGATTCCCATCCCTTTTTTTCACAACATGCAGGATTTTACACAGCTTACATTTAACACAGCACTGAAATTGATCAAGGCATGGAACTTGGTCACAGTGTCCAAAAATGTTGTTGTGCTCAATTGACAATAATATTGTGCAGTGATGCGTACTGAAATTAAATGAAGCTCATACAGGGTGGTTAAAAAAAAGGACTACCACATTTGACAGCAATTTTCACCTATTTTTAAAAATTATTTTTAACTGTCGATTAATAGCTATTAAAGTACTGGTCTTTATTAAGCAAATGTGACAAAAAAATTGTTGCATTTGCACATCTTGTCGTTGAGCTATGCTAAGTTTAACATTCATGTGCGAAACCTGTTTGTCCACGGAGGTATACATTCCCTTCGCTTGACTGAGCTCAGCTATCGGAGCTTTATTTGAAAGGGCATGACATTTAATTGTTATGTTATGTAATGTTATGCAACAATGAACTTAAGCCGACAGCTCATTGAGTAGATGATCTTAACACTGACATGAATAATTGGACAGCTTCAATAAAAGTTACCAGGGCAAAATATATTTTGGTGGGAAGGTTTTTTAATTTTGATGAACTACGAAAACGTCAAATTTACATAGAATAACCCGTGGACAAGGCTGATTTTGGTGACTTGTATTCAAATTAGCATAATATCACTATTTTTGCGACTTTTACTAAGCTTTTTTCACCATGCAAGGTTAAAGGCCTATACTTTACTACTATGTGAAACAATATTTAAAATAAGTTCATTAAGTAGGTGAAAATTGCTGTCAAAAGTGGGTGTCCTTTTTTTTTTAACCACCCTGTAGGGGTTGAGGCCAAGGCTTAGGAGTATCTGCACAACCAAAACAATTCAAAATTAACCTCATGGTTTTGTAGTTATTTCAAAAACAGTCAGATGGACACTATTTTGGAACATGTATTGTACATGTCTACTGCATTGTGACTGATTCTCGCTCAACAAACCATTTGCATAGCACTTGTATTTGGCCGAGCATCTCCAATGATTAACTGTAATTGGGCAATCGATGGCGACAAATTCTCACCTGTGAATGTCCTTGCTTGTGGTGTCAGGCAAACAGTGCTGGTTTCCTTCTGTAATTTCCACAGCCGCAAGCTAGTTGCCTTAGATAACCGGAACATGATGGTGACGTACTAAATACCTGTTTTCTATAAATTTCCTCAGCTCTATGTCTTCCTAATCTGTAAAAAAGAAGAGGGAAATAACAAACACACTTGTTCATACTACATGTAGCTTGAGGTAAATTAGCCCCGTAAATGTGGCCAATTTACTACCTCCGGAAATAGAGGCCACAATTGGAACATGTACCCGAAAATGTAGAACTTTGTCAAGTTTTCATATTCACATTTAGACTTTGTTTGTAGTTTATTTATGATTAACAAGCAAACTCACCCTCTTTAAAGCGATGGAAAATTAATCCCACCGTTTTCAGACATCTATTTTTCACGTAATTTCGTGTTGGAATTTAGGTACATGTGCGCTATTAGTGTACCTAAATCAACGTGTGCAAAATGAAACTACACGAAATATAGACGTCTGAAAAAGGGGGGGGGGGGGGGATTATTTTTTCTATCGCTTTAAAGAGGGTGAGTGTGCTTGTAAAACATAAATAAACTACAAACAAAGTCTAAATGTGAATATAAAAACTTGACAGAGTTCTACATTTTCGGGTACATGTTCCAAGTGTGGCCTTTATTACGGAGGTACCGGTAGTCCAGTAAATTGGCCACATTTATGGGGCTAGAGGTAAATTAGCCCAATAAATTTGTCTCAAATGCTGAACTTTGACTGTATAAATCGTCGGTTGCACCATGAAGTGACGTATTGCGTGCACAAGTCTATAGACGATTCGTCACTTCGCCCGACGAAATTTACGGCCACACAGTGATGCATGCTATATTTTGACATTTCGGGGCGCATGCCGAACTTGGGGTACCAGAGACTGAGTACCATGCGTGTCTTTGATTTTCTGACCATTTTGAACACGTTCAATGTGCCATGTTTTCATCAAATTTCTTGGCAGTGCTGTAAATTTTCATCAAATTTCTTGGCAATGACAGATCCAACACTCGCTTAAATTCACAGAAAGCCTAACAAGTAAGTGATTAAACTAGTATTAAGTAGGGGGCCTATAAGGAAAAATTAAATATGTTAACAACTTGCCGCGTGACAATTTCGAGTGTATTTACGCGAGGACAGAGCATGGCGCCACAAAGCCCCACATGTGTGGCCTCGGTATTGCTGCGCTGTATGTTAGGCCACACGTCTATCTATATTCATAACCTACAGGTGACCTACTGACTTGACTGAGGAGTTTCGTCCAAAACTGGCGCATACCAAATTTGAAGAAAGATTACCTAATCTAGGCCTACCCGTAGAGCAAAAGATGAGAAATCATAGAATACAACCATATACAGTGGTATGTAACAAAAAATGCCCAAAAAGGGTGCGCCAGTGTTTGGACTGAACTTCTCAGTAGGTTGGAAAACCAGACGTGTGGCCTGCCTAAAGTATAGCGCAGCAATACGGAGGCCACACAAGTTTACGGAGGCCACACAAGTACAGCCAGGCGCCACCGTAACAGGTCCAACTCAAGGTCGAGGTCCCAGTCTGGGTAGGGCCTAGCTGGAGTTACCCAGCCCTGAGTTTTATCATTGGGTCCTAGATGACAACCCAATGATAAAACTCAGGGCTGGGTAACTCCAGCTAGGTAGGGCCCTGTTCCATAACAAAAACTTACCGAACTTGTTAGCAACATTACAAATCAATGAGTATGCCGTAGATAGCAAGGACAAGGTTTCAATTTTAATTTTTTTGTCGGAATGTGGGGAATTAATTAAGCTGGAGCGACAACAAAGATGACAAAACGCAACACGAATTAGTCTAGAGCAAGGAACCCCGCACTATGAATTAGCATAGCAAGCGGCCACGCACCAGTGAACACGCAAAACCACGTTGATTCGCAGCTACACAATCACCACTGACTTGGGGGCAAAAGGTGGATAATACATAACAACAATACAAAGTTAGAACTTAAGTTACATGTGATTTGGCAGTCCACAAAATTCGCCACTTCAACGTCACAACCAAAGTGCACAACGGTGGGCGGCCACACGGTACAGACCAAAAATTGCACACAAACGTAAACAGAAGCAGGGTGACCATAAGGTCATGGCCAAATTCTGCTAAATCCACTTCCAAAATCTGTCAGATTTATCAAAATCTGCCAATTTCCCCAGAATTACTCGAAATACACTATATTCACTTGAAATTACACGCAAATTTGTAGTTTTGCCTTAATTAAGGTTCAAATTACATTATAAGCAACCTATAGTCACATAAAGATGTTATGAAATTGCGTAATTTGTTAGGCAATATGCGGTCGCTTCACGACGAAGTCCGCCTTCCATTATTGAACCTCAACAGTACACCTACAGACAAGCCAACCTGACCCATATGCAAGGGTTTGTATGAAAAGATTGAAGTGTTTTTAAACAAATGTACCTCTTTTTTTCAAATTTGTATGTTTTTGTGTCAAATAACCATTTTTGCAGAACTTCAGCCAGAAATCTGCCCAAAAAATCCATTCTGTCAATTTCCTTTTAACTAACAATCCGTCAAAGTTAGCCGAAAGTCAGCTAAAACGGTCACCTTGGACAGAAGGTACACGTACATGTACATGTACGTACTAGCACGAGACCGTATGCGAGATTTGACCTCCGTGAGCAGGGTAAGGTCATGGCAACATTCTGATGTTTTTAATTTTTAAATCGCCTATGATATGAAGGTTGCAGGCCAGTAAATAAACTGCCATAGACCCAAATGATAAATGGCCCGACTTCAAAAATTCAGGAAAAATACTCACAACTCTCCAAGGTATTCCAGACACACTTCAAATTAAAGCTAATTTCATCGCGCATTAGCAAACGGGCCCCGTTTGCTAAAGGCCACTTTGAGTGTATTGCACATGCTCAGTTCAAACATTCAAAGGTACAGTCACTAAGATTCTGGCAGAAACTTTTTTCAAGGCAAAATTATTAAGAATTTCATTTGGACCTTGACTTCACATCACTCCACTTTCGCCTTTGATTTCCCCTCGGTACATTTGTACCTTTCTCTAGAAGGTGTTATGGAATTTGTTTTTCTGCAAGAAGTCATGTATAGCAAGGAAACAGTTCTTCCAAGGAAATTTCATGTACAAATGCGATGTCTTAAAACGCTTGTTATGCTCAACAATCAAAGATGGAAATTCCTGGAAAAGATCAAAATGTTGTGTTTGTTATAAAAAAAAAACGCTTTTAAAAAATTTTCTTAAAAATTCTGCGATATTCATTGTCCATTGTCAGCAGTTGTTTATATAGTAGACCTAATTTGCAATATTTAACTTACTTTAATTACATAGCACGGGCAATTGAAAGTTAGTCGCTAGTCACTTTAAGTTGATTATTATAATTGATTATTATGCAAGCAAAACTGAACGTAGAACAGATTATGTGTGTTGTAGTATTTGGCCAATTAAAAAAAAGCCAGTGGATCGTCCACGCCCGCTTCCTTTTTTGAGGCTCCATAATTTTTTTTTTTTACATTTCAGGCATACACTTTTTTTAAAGATTTTTCAGAAGTTCAGATACTTTAAGAAGGTGTTGTGGCTATCAATTAGCAGACAACTACCCAGAGCTATCAAATAAAAAGGGCCTCCTCCTTTTGAGACATTATCATGTATTAAAGCTAAATATGGCTTTTTTTTTAGCCTACTTTTCAATAAAAAAAATTAAAAAGGACCTTATCCTCCTCTTTTTGAAAAAAACCCGGACGATCAACTGGTGTTTTTTTTTTACTTGGCCTTAGTGTATTTTTGTTGTTTTATGTTTGAAATATTTGTCTCTGTTCATGGAACATTGTAGTACATGTATTCATAATTATTTTGTTAGAAGATTTTGGCCCCGTATGCTCCATGCGTTTAAAATCGAGTGAATCAATTGGGTCAGTTTTATTTTTTAGAAGTTCGTGTGTTATATCCAAGTGTTGCACTTATAAAGATGAAAAGTTTTGTCGTTAGGTCTCGTTCTCCAAAAGATAGGGTCTCTAGTAAGATCAAGAAATTACATAAAAATAGTTGTTGAATGAAAAGTATTTTTTTAAGCTGTAAAGTGTATAAGGCTTTTAATGTTTAGAGGATTAAAACTGATTTAACTAGACAAAGTAATTTTAAATGCGACTCATTCAGCATATTCACATAAAATTCATATTTGAGCAAGTACACAATTAATTCAAAGTAAACACAATTTTCAAAATAAAATCTCTTTTCAGTTTTACAATTTGCGTTGTTTGCTGCTCAGTTTATGGTAGAAGTTAAATATCTTGATGCCAAAGCGTTATTTTGTAATTGATTAGTAAAGAGACTAGGAAGCGAAACGCAGCATTTAAAGGCTATTATTAAATCAAGTTGTTTTATTACTCCAGTTCAGTAACACGCAAGATGTAGTCCCTTTTTAAAAAATCGCCACGCTGGTTTGAATTATTATGGAAATAAAAGATTTCACTGGAATAGTTGCCCACGGTGTGTCTTTGTTTTGTCTCTGTGCCTTGATGACTGCCCGACTGACTCCCCGACCGACTGACTCCCTCCCCGACTGCGGACTGATTGTCACTCGTGGATTAGACCTGTTACCTATGGGCCTCATATTCACGAGTCGGCCATATTGGACTGACAGTGAGATAAAATCTTGAATTTTGGAATTTGTGTAGTGAAATGAAAGTAAGTTAAGTACTAATTAATTCCACTCTGCTTCAATGAATAATTCCAAATTTGTAATTAAATGTTCCCTAATGTTTAAAGCCAGATCTACAAAAAAAAATGACAGTAAAATATAGCTGCATAATGCCTTCATAAAATGGTCCGGCGCCATCCCATTCAACAGTTGGCAATTAATGAGATACATTTAGGGAACTCGACAAAAAAATGGCCAACACGTGAATAAGGCCCATCTCTCACGCTGAGTCACTTGTGACTTAAAATTACAGGGTGACCAAAAAAACTTGTGTAGGCAGATGTCCTATAATTGTTCACAAATTACTTAACATCTTGATGGAGCATATTAATTATACTCTTGTGTAATATCAGTGAAAATGTAATGGAAATTCGTTCACGCAAACCCTGAGATCTAACAGATTGTAAAGGGCCATGGGTTTTTCACCCATTCCAATGGGATTTACACAGGTTGTGATATCAGTGCATCAGATTGTCATGGGCCTTTTCACTCTGATGTTAATTAAGTTAACTGTGTAAATCCCATCCCATTGGAAAGGGTGAAAACCTCATTGCTTTTTATATTAATGGAGCAATTTCCAATTGTATGAAACGCCATATACAATATTATAACTGAAAAAAAATCAAGATGTAATATATATATTACATCTTTCAAACAACGTCTCATTAATTTGGAACATTCCCAATAAATATAGTAATTCGCAAAATAGGAAAAACGAAAGAAAACAAAGCCCCTCACCCTTAAACCTGGAAATACAAAATTAACGACTAACTAGGCTGCCTGCCGTATTCAATAAGCCATTTGCGTGTTAAATTTGCATAAAATCTGGAACACTGACTTAATCCAGTGCTTTTCACGTTTTAAGTTTGCATTCTCCCGACCAAAGAGACTGTTACTATATCACGTGATTCGGGGCAAGCCTTATGCTAGCAACCCCCAGCTCCATGGCCTGTTGTCTTTGTGTCATTCTCACCCATTGTGAACAATGTATTGGTGCTGAGCGTCTCTTACGTAACCATGCAACAGCTTGCCCCGAATCATGTGATTAGCAACAGTGTCTTTGGTCTGGAGTATTCAAAGTTAAAATATGCCAAGCATTCTGAGCAAGTCAGTGTACCAGATGTTTTTGAAATGTAAATCCCAAAGGGTATAGGTTACTCGCAAATGGCTTATTGTCCAAACTAATGAAAACAGCTCGACTCACTATTGCCCGAATTATCGACTTCTGTTCCGTATGGAGCCAAAACAGATGCACACAGCAATGCTCCACGTTTCTCCGCGGACTCCGTCAATAATTAAGACAAATTGTTTTTGAGGAGAATTCTAAGGAAGCCTGATGGCCGAGTGGTAAGATTCGTCGTCCACGAATCGCGAAGCCCGGGATCGAATCCCGTCGGTGTCTTTTTGCGTTTTCAACGCTATTCAGTCATTATAAGATATTTAATTTCCTGTCGTAAAATACCAACTGTACCTTAGCTTAATCGGTAAGCACTGCGGCTGGTACTGTCCGTGAGTTCCAGGTTGGCGCCTTCGTACAGGTTCAGGGCATGTGGTCCACTCGGAGGATCAGGGCTTAGGGTGCCGCCCTGTTCCTCCCTTAGCTCTTTGCTTTTACATGGTGACTGGCCCTCCGGGGTTACATGGATGGACAGGGAAGGAAGTGTGTATTGGTCGGGGACGCCGAGACCCCGGAAGAGAACTAAGGGATTGGCTGGGGCATTGTTATGGCTCAGACCGATCCCTGAAAGCTTGACTAGCACATAACTTTTTTGATTTTTTTTAATCCTTTATTTTTTTAAACTTTGATTTAGTTTGATATTGACATCTCCTCGGCAGGTGTGGTAGTATTAAAAACGAAACAAAGGTGTATGTCATAAATCAATAAATATTTCATAACTGACTATAATCAAAACAAAGTTTCGTTCGATCACTCTGCCTATACCCTTATTAAAGGCGCAATTTCCAATTGACGTAAGAAACACCGTTTACAATATCTGCCCGATTTTGATGAAAATGCAAGGAAAACTCCTTACAATGTTGAATTTCCCAGAAAAATCGAATTTTGATGAAAATGCACGTGTAACCCCTTACTATTTTAAATTTTCCACGAAAAGTCAAATTTTGCCAAATTTTGATGAAAAT